CCCCCCCCCCCCCCCCCCCTCCCGTCCACATCCCGCTTTCGTGGCCATACATACCTCCCGCATACCCATCGCGGAACTCCCCGTTCCCTTTCTTTGTTCATTTTTTTCAACTGCCAGCGAAACAGCAGGACACAATTCAGTTCTCGTCACCTAGCGCATCAATCGTCATGACACCACTTCGATCGTGTGCTCCTTTGCGATATCTCGGGGAGTGACACTTCTGTTAGGCACGGGTGCTGTGTGCGGGAAGAGCTTGGTGGCGGCGTGTAATCCAATTCGTTTTTTTGGTCCGGGCAGTCGGACCGCATCGCCAGGCGAAAAAGCCAAACCGGATGTCACATCGCCACGATGCTCTCGCCACGTTCAGCTCCAATGCCCAACACAACTATCACGCCCAGAGACACCACAATGTAGCACACGCTCGAAGTGGTGCGATGGTGATCGGCGTCCTAGGTTTCTAGAACTCATGTGGTGCTGTGCTCACTATGCTGGCAGTTGAACGCGGCAGTAAAACAAAAAACATGCGCGACAGCATTGCATAGCATGACCACACCACAGAGAGTCCAGCGGCATCGAGCCCAGATGCTGCCGCCCGCTGTGCGTGTGTGTCGCCAGGTATGCGTACGCTGTCTGCTGTGTGTGTGTTGTCTACTGTGTGGTGTCGCCCGCAGTGCGTGTGTTCTCTACTGCAATCCGCTGTGCGCTCCCGAAACAAAAACTGTATCTGCTGACCGCTGTAGTCCAAAATCATGTCATGTACTCTAAAATCTAGATTAAGCGAACAGACTACAAACTTTTTGGTCTTGGTGCGGCCCTATATTGCGGCGAGACATCAGGCCAGATTAGAAATCTCGCTTCGCTCGAACAACGAAAGTCGAGAAACCTCACCCGGCACGCAGCTGGCTTCCTGTTGGGGGAAAAGCGGGGGCTCCATCGGGAGGGTCTTCCCTCCGGCCCGCCGGTACTCGGGCGGTGAGATTGAAGCACTTGTTCGTCAGGTCGTAGCACACGCCCTTCAGCCACCCGGCTGACACGGCGTACCGCAGCGGCGTGCCGTCCAAAAACGGCGACTTCTCGTCGTAGGGTGATGGAGAACGGTTCGTCCAGCGGGCGGCGGCGAGCGTTACAATCCAAAACGTGCGGTAGCAGCACGTACCAATACAACCCGATTATTTACCAAAGCCTAAAGTTCATATCACGGCTACTGTCGCGCCTGCGTGTCAAAACGACAACTGGTCAGTCCTGGTGAAACAACTCTTTGCCAAACAAGACCTTTTGACCGGTCCTCCTCGTGAAGTTGGTGGTTCTCCGGGAACGGGCGATCTCACGGCTGGGATACAAGCACCAATACCCACCTTGCCGATCTCGAGCACTCGCATGGCATGGGAAAAGTAATTCTCGCTGTAAGGAATAGAGAAATACATTGTAAGACAATCAGCAGACCTTACGAAGCAATGAAGGTCGGGAAGTGATGCGAAAACGACCCATCGCCGACCGGCACATTTTACCTTGCCAAACCGTTGCTGAAAGGCGTGGTTCAGGTCCCGACCCGTCAGTTCGCCCTCCTCCTTCAGCAACAAGTTCACATTACCCTTCAGTTCCTTCCAATCGACCCCACGCTTCTGCGGCGCCACGGCGTGGGGCCTACTGGTGACGCCGCCAACACCAGCATCCGAAGCGCGGCCTGCCGCCTGTGACGGTGCCGCCGAGATGCCGAATCTTAGCTGATGTTCGCTGTCGTCTTCTTGCTTCTCTTCTGCCCAGCCATCGCTGTCCCCCGCAGTCTCGGCCGCATCATCTTTATTGTCATCGCTAGCGGTTGTCCCAGGAACACAACCTGTGGTAGTGTCATCGAGAGACATGTGCTGGTCCGTTTCAAGCGACGGATACCCTATCGCCGGTGGCTGAACAAACGCTTGGCTCTGCTGGGGTTGCTGCCGTTGCTGGTGCGGTGGTGCAACACCAGTGGTGCCAATATCAGCACCCGTGTTGCCAGTGGCACTCATCGCTGGCGAGGCTGAAGCTGCCTCCTGCGTGCGATATGCCTGAATAAACGCCGCTTGTGCTGCTGCCTGTCTTTGATGTTGCTGAAATTGTCGAAGCTGCTGTTGCTGTAGCTGCTGTCGCTGAAGCTGCTGCTGCTGTAGCTGCTGCTGTTGCAGAAGCTGCTGCCGTAGCTGCTCCTGCCGTAGCTGCCGCTGCTGGTACACTGGGGCTGACGGGAGGAGACGGATACCAGCAGGGGGCTCGTGCACAACGAACGGAATCTCTCCAGCTTTCACCATTGCTTCACGTGCGGGTAGTAGGATCACAAGCGCAAAGATAGTGGGCAGATGGGTTGGAATAGGAAAAAAACAACATGGGAAGCGCCGAAAGAGGGCTGGAACAAGGCTTAACGCCCGGGGCACGAACTCGTGACTAGGATAACAACGCTGGTTCCCTAGCTCGACAAGCTCGCAAAGCACGGTGAATGGCAGAAAAGGCAAGAGCAACACCACCACGGTCGGACTTTGCGCGATCCCCAGCCCCAAGCCGGCCATCATGCGCTACACGGACTTTACACACGTGCGAAGCACTTACCGAACAAATCTTTCAGGGTGTACCGGGTTTCCCCGAAGCGCGCCTGGTACGCCTCCCACAGTGCCGTTATCCTTATGCGTCCACCCCTTTCCAGAAGAAGCTGGGGGATGTCGATCGCCGGGCCAGATCCCGCTGGCCTCATATGTCTAGCTACCGCCGAATTTAGTGGGACCGGGGCACTACTCGACCTTTCCTCCTCCTTGCGGCCGCCGTCGTGAATTTCAACAACACTCGATGCATTACTTCTGCCCGCCCCGCGGACGTCAACGATTGCTTTCAGCGTGCCTGATGGAGGGGGGTTATTTCCTGCTGTCGCTGTTGCTGAGGCGGCGTCCTGCTCCAGTAGCCGTCCGGGGTAGGCGGCAACGGCGGCGGCCGGTGCTGAAGCGACCGTCCCCGTGATGGCCTTGAGCGAACTCGAGGTCAAGCATTGTTGTTGGGCGGCGTGCCGACTCATGTCGGCGCCCGGCCATACCTGACGATCCGGCTGCTTCGTGGGTTCAGCGGCGATGTCTCCGGCGGCGTCCGACGCGATAACTTTGGCGCCGTTGTTTCTTTTTTCGTTTGCGTTGAGGGCGGCGGTGTGGGACAAGGCAGCAGCCGCCGCGGTAGTTGCAGCTGCGGCTGCGGGACCGCCGGTTCCCTACAGGTTTCGCGTTTATATCCAGGCACAGGGAATCAAGAAGCTTGATTGATTGAAAGCTCGTAAACAACGCAAATCATATCAGGGAAAATGAGTTCAAGGATCGGTCCAACACCGCTAGATGTGGTCTACGGGTGGACTCTTGGCGTGATTCGGCATGCGGACCCCCACATGACCTCATTTCCTCTCGGTCGGCTCAACACTGCTGAAAAGCGGCGGAGAAGGCAAGCACGCGGTATGAAATATGTTGTCTTGCAATCTGTTCCACCAAGGCGGTGCGTCGCCCTCTCGTCCAATACTTTGACAGGAACAGGCAGTGGATCGTGCACTGTGTGGTCTCGCGCTACGCAACCGAACACACCCACACATTCCTTTTCGAGAATGCACGCTAGGTAACCTTACCTCGAACGCGTAATAGTCCGCGGGTTTTGCTCCACATGGAAGCATGCACCAGAACGCGAAAGAACATTGGTGTCAACGGTCTGGAAGAGTGTGGTGAGATGGTCGTTGAGGCATGCATGCGTGCACAAGGTTGGTGTCGTCTTGCGAAGGATATCTGCTGTAACGCCATTTGTACGTCGGTGTGACATACCTTGAAGACAGTCGCATTTCTCACCTGCATTTGAGACAGCAGTAGCGCCTCGCACACCCGTTGCAGCTCTGCAACATGGTTTACCAGCAAATCCTTCTCTGAAACCAGAAAATACACAGAAGATTGGCACGAAACTTTGGCTCAGACTTGACGATTGCTGGGAGTGTTTGCCGGACGGGCCCACAAGATACGTTCATGCAGTACGGGGGCTTGCGAACAGGTCTGTGGATTGACCAATGGGGCCCAGTAAGGCATGCTTAACACAAAACATTTCCTGTACATGCATACAACGCACACGATAGAGCATATATTGGGGTGTTTTTTTTAACTATTTAATTGTTCTTCAGATTTAGGGATTGTCAGATTTTCAGGTTTGGGAAGTACCCATGTGCGCGTGCACATCGCCACAGCAACAAGATCGATAGCGACGGCACCCGCGACAGACCTTCCATGTGGTGGAGAAGGTGCTGGTGCAGTTCGCGTTCACGAACTGCGGCTGCCCGTAGCTTGTCCTTCAAGTCTTCCACCACAAAGTCACGGGCACTTGGAGCAGCGGCCGTGGCGGCAACATCTAAATAGAGTGTGAGTGGGAGGACAGCGGGGCAAGAGCGTGCAGAAAAACACAAGGGTCCGAGTCTGGAGGCAGACAACATGGCCGGCCACCCGGATACCGTCAAAACCACTTCGGTTGTAAGATCTTGACATTGCTACCTTGACGGTGTGTGTTTGCATGTGTGCTTCACAAATTTGAAGAACCGCGCCAACCGGCCGACAAATAAGGGTACCTTAGCGTCAGCTGGTAAAGATCACGGTTGCCGGAGGGGGGGGGGTTGTACTCATAGTCGTGCGTGCCGTAGTCGTTAGACCATTGACCTCGCATCCCTACAAAGCCGGGACGGAGCACGCCGGGTTCTCACCGGACCAGGCTCTCACATCACCAAGCGCGAAGCGCCGTGAGATATTCGGCGAGTCGCATGAAGGGTGCGCTGCATCCTGCTAAGGGTGTTCGGCATCTTGTGCTTACTTCCTTGCGTACGGATGACAGCTGCGTATGACTTAATTTATTTTCTGGTGCTTTCACTTCCAGAGACAGTTGTAAGCACTGTGTAACTGCCTCGAGGGTGCTTGACCATTTTAACACAACGTGGTGCGATCATCCCCCTTGCGCGGAGTGAGGGTTCTCCACCCCGCACAACATGATCTACTCGACCACCATTATGGTTACCGCCAAAAACAAAAAAACGGAGGTAAAAAAAAAAAACGGTAACCTGGTTTGCGAGTTCACGAAGAGAATTGGCTTGTTTTACAACGTCTTTGCCAAGCGACGAAAACCCAATCCCGATGGCAAACACCGGGGGCGGCGGCTTGTTTTACAACGTCGTTGCCAAGCGACGAAAACCCAACCCCGATGGCAAACACCGGGAGGGGCGGCTTGTTTTACAACGTCGTTGCCAAGCGACGAAAACCCAACCCCGATGGCAAAACACCGGGGGGGGGGCATGTGTTATTTATGAAAGGTCGGCCCCAAAAAACGAGAAAACCTCTTTGAACCCGGTTTGCTAGGGACACACGCCCAAGCTCCCCGCACCCCGCAAGTCGTCGCTAGAATCGAAGAAGCTACAAGAGTGGTTCGGCTGGCAGCGCCCTGACTTGTCAGAGAACTGCTATTAACTTTTTTGTCGACGAGGTTCCCTGCAACCCGTATGCGCATTAGTGAAAGGGCTTCAACTCATCTCCTCTTGACAAACGGTACTACAGCATATGCATGTAGTCTTCCTGTGACCAGGCTCTTGCAGAATTCTCACACCGCTATATTCCGGAAACCATGCGGCTTCACGCCAAAAACCTCGTCCCGGACGTCTCCCACGCGCCGACCGCTTCGTCAAACACACCACTGCTGTTGTCATCTTCCACGGAGGTTGGCAGTAACGAGGATGGAGCTGACGCGTCTACGTACAAGCAAAATGAATCACAAAATTAAGTGTTGCTGTAGGCATCCTTTCTCTCGTCGAGTGTATATACCAGTGTTACGGAGACCACCGCACACTTTTTTCCCAGGTCCGCGTGCATGTAATACTGCTGTACAACATTTCAGCAAAGCCAACACATGACGTGAGCATCATCTGGATGACCAGCGCACAGAGACGGCCAACGAACTGCTGTCTTTCTTCTGGGCGCGACTCGTGAAAACTCTCCGACATGGGCAAAACATCAACCCAAGAAACCACCGCACCTGGAGGACGAATTTCCCTCATCCAACGCTCGAGTTTTCCGCTGCTGATGAGTAAACGGGCACCGCTGTGAGCGTACGGTGGGTGCGTGAATGGACACCACCGCTGTGCATGCTCTGGTGCCTGTGGTTGTGCAGGACATGCCACAGCAGCACATGACCCAGCACCCGGAGGCGCGAGAGAGGTACCGTGCGTGTTTCTTACGTATCTTTTACTACTATCTGCGTCGCTCCTGGTACAAAAGATTTCGAGGAGCCTCTTCTCAGATGATATTTTGATTGGCCAGTGCAAAACAAAGGAGGGCATCGAAGCTTCGCATCAATTAACATTAAATTCACCGGGGGGTTGAATATCTGTTGGCCAAACAGAGAGCAGCAGCATGGGTCAGCGTGAAGTGCCTGAAACCTGACTAGAAGAGTAGGCTTGGGGGCACTTGTTGGTCTGCCCATAGGAAGCACGAGGGAGGCTGCTGCAGCCCAGAGGTATTTCGTAGATCTATTTCTTTGCGTGGGCTGCGTGCTGCTCTCTTCCCGCGAGCAGGGGATCGTACGGGTCGTGTGGCGCGGGCGTCTGGGGGCATTCACCTTTCGGCTGAAACTGGAGGTTTGAATCTTGCTGGCTCTCGGTTGCATCAAATTTGGGCCATGTCATCAGAGCAAAAGTCGCAGGAGACGGAGGAACGCCTTGGTGTCATCCGCATTGAAGGACCTACTGGCGGTCAGGCCGAGTCGGCGTTGGGGACGGGAGGGGGTGCGTCTCTCCCGCCGCCGTCTCAGGTCGTGGCGGGCGCTATTGCGGCGGCCGCTGGCTGCCGCAGGTGGCGTGGATTCGACAGCAGGCGACGTGGCTTCAACAACGCAATCCTCCGCAGATGTTGGTGCTGCCGAGAGCGGTGGGCTTCCGACTCAGGGTCACGCTCGGGCCTCGGCTTCCGGCGGTAACCGCCAGCCGGAGCCCCCGCGTGCGGATGACCCAGTCCAGGCCCACATCATGTCGCGTTTGGCCGATATGTCGGTGGGTACGGCGGGGGGGGGGGAGCCCACCGAGGGCACCCCGCTCGCGTCTGAGAATGAGGAAAAATTCGGAACAACGTCAGACGAACATGGTGGCGCAGCTTACTGAGATCGCTGGGTTGCTGAAGAACTTCCGGCCGGAGCCGGGGCAGGATGGGAGTCGTGGGCCCGGGGAGTCGGGAGACCTCGGTCTGGTGCCGGTGCAGTCGCCGTGGGGCGGGGGCGCGGGCGGGGGGGCGAGTGCGCCCGCGAGGTCCAACGCCAACGAGGAGGCGAGGAGGGAGGCCACCATTTGGCAAGCCAAATATAATCAGACAATTGTCGATCCAGGTTTCGGACTACTCTCGTGCGGAACAGTTATGTGTTTCCGGACGAGTACCAGCGGGTGGCACTACCGAGGTTGCCGAACGAGGACTTCAAATTGTGGATAACGGCGATCATCACCTGGATGTACTCCTTCACCAAGATGTATTATCCGCCGGATGCGTTCGACGGCCACACCTTGCCGCCGGTGCCCGAGTATCCCAACATCTTCAACTTCTGTGAACTGAGGGTGAATCTATCCCGGCTTGTCCTGAGTGACGGAGGATCTCTCCCCGGAACAGGAGAGTCGCGGGGCGGGAGAGGCAAGCGTAAGGCGGGCCAACTGGATCGGGGTGATTCATTGTCACGGAAGCGCGTCTCGAGGGAGTGCTTCCAGTTCCGCGACTCTGGCACGTGCACTTTCGGCGACAAATGCAGGTTTGAGCACGTCAAGCGCCGAGACTCGTCAAGTACCGGAAGTGGCGGTGGTGGGGGCGGGAGTCGTGGTGGAGGGGGGTGCTCGTCGGCTGGTGGTCAGGGGGATGGCGTCTCCCGTGGACGAGGACAGGCTGACGGTGGCGACGGTCTCGGCTCGTCGTCGACCGTGGTGGTGCGGGGTAGCAGCAACTAGGGGTGCGGGCTCCGCCAGCTGGCGGGGCCAACTCCTGTGTCGGCTCCAGCTGAGAGGCCGCAACAGCAGCCAGGTCATAGGGAGAGGGCGTCCCGGGCCTTGGCTGTCGTGGGGATCCGAGGCAAGCGCTGCGAGGGCTTGCCCGGAGTGGCTTCCGACTTGGAATCAGGTACGAGGCAAAGTTTAGAACAGGTTTCGCCGTGTGAGGTTGAAGATTGGCGTGTGGCTGTGTCTGCGCTGGCTGAGTGTGAAGCTGCAGAACAGTATGTCCATCTTCACCATGTGANTGTGTCGGCTCCAGCTGAGAGGCCGCAACAGCAGCCAGGTCATAGGGAGAGGGCGTCCCGGGCCTTGGCTGTCGTGGGGATCCGAGGCAAGCGCTGCGAGGGCTTGCCCGGAGTGGCTTCCGACTTGGAATCAGGTACGAGGCAAAGTTTAGAACAGGTTTCGCCGTGTGAGGTTGAAGATTGGCGTGTGGCTGTGTCTGCGCTGGCTGAGTGTGAAGCTGCAGAACAGTATGTCCATCTTCACCATGTGACGCGTGTGGGTTCAAACTTGCTTCGACGGTGTGGGGGACGCGTGGAAAGGTTCGTCGCCGCTGTTGGCCAAAAGCAATTTCTGCCCCATGTCGATGTGATGCGTGTCAAGAAAAATTTTGGGAATGTGAAAAAGTTTCTCCGACTTGGTCAACTTCTGACATCGTTGTCTCCGGGTGCGCCGGTTGACGTGTGCTCAGGAGGGAAACTTGACGCCGAAGTGGCGTACGGCAACCATCCTAGCGCGTTGCTGCACAGACATCGGATCACAAAGTTGTTCGGACGTGATATTGGGGCGTGCGCTGATTTTCGATGTTCAGTTCATCCGAGAAATCTTAGGAATCAGAGTGTCGCCGTTGGGCGTAATCGACGAACCGAAGTTCAGAATTAGTCACGTTCACACTTTCACCTCTGGCGTGCCAATCCGTGCGGACGTAGATCACGATACAGACTTCGATCAAGCACCTGAATGCCGCTTGGGTCATGTGTTGAGTGACATCTGAAGCGGGTGCTGTAGTTGCGACAAGTACACGGGGTGTCATTGGGAATTCTGATCTGCCGCATTGATGTCGAAGAAGCCTTCCGACAAATCCCGGTGGATCCGTCTCGGGCATCGGTTTTTGGGTACACGATCGGAGATCACGTGGTTGTTTACCTACGGTGTCAAATTGGATGGCGGTCGAGCCCAGGGTTTTGGTCCTTGTTCTCGTCCGTCTTGGAACACTCACACACACACACACACATTGCATTTCAGGAAGCGTCCGTCTCTCCCGCCGGTCCTGCGGCTGTGCAGCATGTTCAAGTAGTGTCCCCACCAGACGAAAGTACAACGATGCCGTTAACGGTTGATTGCCAGACTATTGTGGGTGACGGGGCGTATGCTTGTTCTCCGTTTTTCGTGCGATACTACGTTGATGATGGTGTGTTGATTAAAGGGCGATTTTTCGCTGATGGTCGCCGATGTTTGCGCGCGGTGCGCTCTCTCGCTACGAATCACTTTCGTCTGCTGAGAGGAAGAGGCCCAGCAGACCCGCCGCTGTTGTCGCAAGGAAAGATAACCGAGTTCGCTACTCGTTTGGATGTGTTGGGTTGGACATTGGACACTCAGCAACTCACGATTACTATGAGCGACACGAAACAACAGAAACTGGGACGCATTTTGGCTGCGTGGCCCGCGACGCGGCGAGTCGCTACAGCTCGTCAAGAAGCCGAGTTGACAGGGTTTCTCACGCACGTTTCGTTCGTGTTGCGGCCAGGAAAGTTTTTGCGGGGCGCCTTTTGTCCGCGGTAGGGATGCCTGCTTCGTCTACTTTCGCGTCCCAAGCGCCGAGCCCGAACAGACGGGTAGTGCTGGGTCCAGTATTCCACGATGACCTCGAATATTGGCGGTGGTTCCACGAGCGTGATCTCTCGTTGCGCGGCGGAAGTTTGTGTGCACCGATGTACAACATTTTGGAACGTCCACCCAAACTATCCCNGCCAGGAAAGTTCTTTGTGGGGCGCCTTTTATCCGCGGTCGGGATGCCCGCTTCGTCTACTTTCGCGTCCCAAGTGCCAAACCCGAACAGACGTGTAGTGCTGGGTCCATTATTCCACGATGACCTCGAATTTTGGCGGTGGTTCCACAGGCGTGGTCTCTCGTTGCGCGGCGGAAGTTTGTGTGCACCCATGTACAATATTTTGGAACGCCCGCCTGCACTATCCGTGTTCACCGATGCGTCTAAGCAAGCAATTGGAGGGTATTTTTTGCAAACGGGCCGCTACTTTCGGTATGATCTGTCTGTGGAGGAGCAAGCTTGCTTTGTGGGGTCGAGCAAATCGGTCCAAGGGGTCAATCATGTCAGCATTAACGTGCTAGAGCTCCTTGGCATGGTCATGGGGGCGTGGGTGTTGGTATTGGGTCGAAGTCACCAGCCTGTGGAGGCGGGTGATTGCGTACGACTGCGAGGAGACAACGAAGCAGCGACGGCGTGGATTGAGCCTCGATCGGGGGCGCTAGTGCGCCTACTGGGGGCGCTTGAGGTAGCCAGCGGGTGGCATTTCCACGCGACCCATGTTCCCGGCATACTCAACTCGCTTGCTGATGGTATCTCACGTTGGTATACTAACGATGTTCATGATAACCTGTACGCTGCCTCCCCTCATGTGGCGTGGCAGATCGTGGAGTTAGGCCCGAAGGTGCGCGAGGTGTGCTCCACCGCGCTGGCGNTCCACGCGACCCATGTTCCCGGCATACTTAACTCGCTTGCGGATGGTATCTCCCGTTGGAATACTAACGACGTTCACGATAACCTGTGCTCTGCCTCCCCTCATGTGGCCTGGCAGATCGTGGAGTTAGGCCCGAAGGAGCGCGAGTTGTGCTCCACCGTGCTGGCTTCGAGCTCGTCCGGCACGCACTTGCGCCATCGTCTGAACGAACTTACCTGGGATTTTTTGGAGCGTGGGTGAAGTTTCGAGAGGACGTCATGGGGAGACCGGCGTTTATGGTGCCGTCGTCTCCATCGCCGGACAATGTTTCGCAATTGTTAGAGTACGTTGCGTACGCGTTCACGGTGTTGGGCGTGAGGCAGACTACGATAGCTGGTCATTTGTCTGCTGTTGATTTTTTTCACCGCTTTTCATGCGATGGAAGTGGATACATGCCATTCATTGATCAAGCAGGCGCTCAAAGGGGTGGCACGAGGGCATGCTGGTGTAGGTGTGCAGCAACGGGTGCGACGTCCAGTTTCGTGGTCGATGCTGAAGGAAGGAGGGCGTCTGGTGCCACAGTGGGGCACGGGTGGGCGCGTGTTGTTTCTGGCGCTGAGTGCTTCATTTTTTTTCTTGATGTCGGCATGTGAAATGTTCGCTGGGTACTCGTTGGTCATGGGTTCTTGTCATGGGTTGCGTCGGGGGGACGTGGCGTTTTTCTTGGATTCTCACCAGCTGCCTCATGAACGTAGGGTAGAGGCCGACAGAGTCGAGGTGCGGTTTCGGTCGTCGAAAGGCGACCAGTTTCGGAAGGGTGCCGTGTGTACGCGGGCGAGGCCGGGGCCTCCCCAGTCTGTGGAGTGTGGGAGGGGTGCAGTCGATGTGACGATTGAAATTCTGTCATGCTACCCTTTTCTCCCACCGTTTGCTCCGTTGGTCGCGTTCGGGACCGGGAAGGGGCANATGATTGAACTCCTTTCATGCTTCCCTGTTCTCCCTTCGTCTGCTCCGTTAGTCGCGTTCGGAACCGGGGAGGGGCGATGGTCCGTGTGGACTCGTCGTCACGCGACGGAAGCGCTGCGGCAAGTCGTGTCGTTGGCGGGTCTGCCGTCGTCCGAGTACGCGTTGCACTCCCTTCGGATTGGGGGCGCCACGTACTTGGCAGCGGGGGGAGCGTCGCCAGAAGTTCTGAGACGAGAGGGGAGATGGACTGGGGAAACGGAGTATCGGCCGTACGTAAGGAACCATGAGAAAGATGCACAGTGGTTTCTAGTACCTTGGCATCGAAGGGTGATACAGTGAGGCAACCGGGACAGGGTACAGAGTGGGGTGACGTAGTCCCAGAGGATGGTGAGGGCAAGCCGTAAAAGGAGGGCGTGGAGTGTGTGTGATGAGGGTATATTGGTCGGTATAATAGTGGGAACCACGGTAGGGGGGGAGAGAGAGTACAGAGGATCAGTACGGTAAACCAGTCCGCGGTTAGGTTGGGGGCAGGCATGACTTTGAGAGTATGCCCGATGGTGCGGTGACTGGATTATACTGATGGTGTTGTGGACGGGGATAGGTTGAGATCCCCGAGTTCCACTCTTCTCTCCCCCCCCTGTTCAAGCGTGGTGGGGTACGACCAATTAATGCAATTTCGAAAGCAACGAACAAAGCAGAAGATTGCAGAGGCAGAGGCGTTGAAGTGTGAATTTTGTGAGGAGCGGAAGATGAAATATCTGTTGGCCAGTCAGAGGGCAGCAGCATGGAGTCAGCGTGAAGTGTCTGAAAGCTGACTAAGAAGAGTAGGCTTGGGGGCACTTGTTGGTCTGCCCCAAGGAAGTACGTGGGACGCTGCTGCAGCCAAGCGGTATTTCGGAGGTGATCTATTTCTTTCCCTCCCACACACCCTTTTGCTTTTGGGGGCGTCAGTGGTCGGGCGAGGACGGATCGCCAGTAGTGGTGAACGAGGAAAGTGTGGTCGTTTGCCGATACTGCTGATGGGGCGAGGGTCTCTTGGGTAGAGGGTCCTTGCCCAGGTGTGTCTGTCGCGATAGAGATGTTTGCGGTACTCTCAGTGCGGGTGAGAGCGCCTGAGTTGCTGTGCCACGAAAGGAGGCGAGGGCGCAGTGACTGGATGTGAGGTTATGGTCGACAGGGTCGGCTGTAGCTGTAGGCCGGCGGTCGGGGGGTGGGTGCGAACCCAACGTGGGGGTTCGTGCGGTACCGCGTGTGTGCGACCGTTGATGAGCTTGACGAGGTAGCGCGACTAGACATGGGCATGCAGTGGTGTATTTCACGGTACATCACATTCTATGTGGTATATGTGCGGTCAGGCAGGAACCGCAGGAGGGGGTCCAGCCCCCCCCTCTTATGTGACCCCGGTTGGGTCGTCTAGCAAGTAGAAGTGGAGGATAGGGGCCAGAGGGGCAGACAACAGAATCCGATGATGGGAGAAAAAAAAAAAAATGTGCGGTATATCGAGGTTGGTATATCGGAACACGCGTCCAATTTGGAGAGACGAGAATGTGGAGCACACGACATCCTGGGGGGAGTGGGCGCGCAGTTGGAAGTTGTTGCTAACAACTTGTTGTTGTTGTCGTTATTGTTGTTGTCTTCACATTAAAAATCGTTCCGATCTCTCTCTACCCAGTAGCTTCGTATGTCCGTACTGATCCAACACTCGACGCGGTTGATTCCCGTGGTCGCAGGCTAACATACCCTAAAACGGTACACTCAAATAAAATGGCCCCGAGGGGTCCGCTAGTCATTAGATATCAACGACAGATATTCTGGAGTCCTCCACTCCCTCTGCGCGCTATGCGAGGTAACAACTGAGACTAGGAGTCACCATCACGGGCCGAAGAGAATGAGGTGCACCCCCTTGGTTCAATCTTGGTACCTCACAACGCAAGCAGAGACAAGGCCATCTGGCACAGAAAAAGAGATAAAAAGAGAATAAGAGAAGAAAATAAAAGGAAACAGGCTAGTAAAGGGAAAGAGAAAATGAAATAAGCAACTGGCGCTGAGTGAGAGGGGGTTGTGTGCTGTGCTAGGAGTATTTCCAGTCCAAAATTCATGTACTTACATGTATGTACAACATGTATGGGGCTTTAGGTGCCGGGCAATTTTGTTTCTGAATTTGGATTTCCTTTCCGTGGAAATGTAGGTCGCGCGGCATTCTCTTTGCACATGTACATGTATGCTTCACAGCAATAGTATATGTTGTATGCATGGATATCTGAGTCTGTGGGGGGCAGGCATGAATTTGAGAGTATGCCTGATGGTGCGGTGACTGGTTTATACTGATGGTGTTGTGGACAGGGATAGGTTGAGATCCCCGAGTTCCACTCTTCTCTCACCCCCCTGTTCAAGCGTGGGGGGGTACGACCAATTAATGCAACTTCGAAAGCAACGAACAAATGCTGTGTTTCCTTCTGACCGCGACTGGTGAAAACTCTCCGACATGGGCAAAACATCAACCCAAGAAACCACCGCACCTGGAGGACGAATTTCCCTCATCTAACGCTCGAGTTTTCCGCTGCCGATGAGTAAACGGGCACCGCTGTGCGCGTACGGTGGGTGCGTGAATGGACACCACCGCTGTGCATGCTCTGGTGCCTGTGGTTGTGCAGGACATGCCACAGCAGCACATGACCGAGCAACCGGGAGGCGCGAGAGAGGTACCGTGCATGTTTCTCACGTATGTTTTACTACTATCTGCGTCGCTCCTGGTACCATGCGATTTTCGCGGAGCCTCGAAGGTGAACATTCAATTCATCGGGGCATTGTGTCTTTCCCCGGACTGAAAAGTCGGAGAAAGAGACCATGTGTTTCTCACTCTCGTGGGGCTTCCCGGTGTTAAATCAACATTGAGGTACTCTCAGACTTGAAGTGTTAGAGATAAGGAGGAGCCCGCCCGTCCCCCAGTCGCGCACTCATCATCAAGTGTTGTGTGCCCGGCTTGCACATCTACCTTGTCCTTTGGTGTGATACATATTTTCGAGAGAAGAAAGAATGGTCTGGCTAGGTCCCCTCCAACAACAAGGTTTGGAACAAGAGCCAGAGCCGCACATCGAACCGGTCCGTCCCGCGATGGCGATGCCTCTCCCGGAGGAACTCATGTCCTCCGTCCTGGTGTTCCTGAGGATGAAGGACATGCTGCAGTGGCGCGTCGTCTCGAGCTCGACAAAGGCAATGTGAGAGAAGATAAAGACAGCAGCAGCTTTCGTGTTTCGTTGGGAAATGGAAATGGAGAGATTTTGACACTTGGTTTAACATCTGGCCCCACGTGTGTTGGGAACCCGGCAAGTCCCTCCCCCCGCGCGCGCCGACGATAACCTTGGCGGGCATCTAACCACCCGCGTGCTCGAGCCACCGAGTATATTCACAGCCAGCTTGAGGGAACCGCAGTCAGGCTGTGCTGTGGTGTTGATTGGTCCCTGCGTGCGTGAAACGTCACAGAGAGCGGGTTCGCTCGAATCAAACATTCATGCCTCACGTCCTCCCTTCGGCCACGTACCTTTCGTTCCGCACCGTCATGGCAGTACCATGCCTAGGCTATGTAGTCACCCAGTTTCCACACTCGTTGATCCTCACCGTGGTCCTAGAACGCACGTGTGCCTCTCATGTTAAGATATCACGCCGTACAAGACCTGTGTAGCTTCACCGCACCATACTGGAAGCTTCAACGAATTCTCCTCCGAATTCCCCACCTCGTTCGGCTCCGTCCGCGAGCTAGCTGCTGTGCAGCGACGAGATACGACAAGTCGCACGCTGGTCGCGCGCGGGTGTGTTTGTGTATGCTAGCCCTGCGCCCTTGCCATGCCCGAGTTCCCCAAGGTTTGGGCGGAGACGGAGGATAGGAGTGTGTCGTTTTCAACACGTTTCACTCGATGATGCGTTGAACATCTTGGGGCTGTTACGCTGGATACATCATCAGCACGCACCATTTGACACGCGTATTATGGTCTCCCTTTCCCTTTTTCGTCGAGAGAGCGTTTGAGCCCGATCAAATCGTGCACACTACAGCCCCGCCGTCTTGTACGTCCACACACGCTCGCGCGCGGCGGCGCGCTCTGGGTGTGCGTAAATCTGGACGAATGCCGGGCTCAATCCGATATATTCCGCGTCATGTTTTTTTTTGCTCTTCTCGCAGGTGGGCTTCAGAAAGCCAGGTGTCTCGCGTCGCCAGGCGGGTATCGGTGGACCTGCACCTCACCCTGTCCAAGCTCAAGGCGATCTCGCTGCTCGCGCCAAGCCCAAGGCTAGATGGCACGCAGCCCGTCGCCAATCGCGACGTGCACAGCTCGAAGTGGGGCAAGGCTCTCAACATCGGACACAAGGGCGCCGCCGGGTGAGCCATCAACCCGGGCACTCGAAAGCGCGCGCGCGCTCGTTTTGCGTGCGGACATTCCCACACATGTTACAATTGCGTTCAAGAGCTCTGTCACCAAAGGCTCGTAGCACCGCCGTCTCGTTGCTGCTCTCTGTCTCTTTGAGCTGGGAGTAGCGGCAAGGCGTGTGTATCTTGGTGAAAATTGCAGGCATATGGGTTCGACAGCAGTTCGTAAGAACATGACACCACCTGACTAGTGCTGTAGGTTTGCATACCAGGAACATGTGCGTTTGGCACCCGCCACGAAAGTTCAACGGTGATTCCTCGTAGGGACTCAGGAAAGGTGATCCCGAACACCCAGACCGCTTGCAATACTACGGGCTGCCGTTGTTGGGGTGTCTAGTCCCCCCTTCCGGCCGATTACACTTCCAGTCTCATGTAGACGTTTGTGTCTCCTTTTCCACCGCACGTTTTTGTTGTCCAACGTTCAAGGTTGAACAAGCGAACGCGTACGTACTGGTGCCATGACGCCGCCGGCACCGGCTCTTCCAACCTTGTGCACCTCAAGTTTCCCCTTTGACGCCGACAAAACTTGGCATTTCTGTGGAAACGACACAAGCAGGGCACGTGCCCTACCGCTGCTCAGTCGGGATTCCAAACAAAATTCTCGTACATGGGACACACCAAAGAGTGCGCGTCACGCGTTTAAGAATTTGGTTGTTCGGTTAGAATGATACACTGGTTAGGTGCCACCCAACTTGTTTATGTGTTTGGATGAATCCACACCATTCAACGGCTTGACGACCCGGCCATCTCAATTCTTGTGGGTGAAGTGGCACTGAGCTATTCAAAGGAGAAATACAGCAGATGGAAACGCCTATTCAATAGCGTGTGCAGCACCCTTCAATGGTCGGCAGTCCCGGAGCGGCTGGTAGCGTATCACTTCAGTGCGAGTGCGGATGAACCTCGTAGATGTTTTATCTATGTGCACGCTTGGTTCTGCGCAAGTTGTGCGCAGTGCTCTTCGTGGCCTAAGCCAAGTCCCACGTGCCCCCTGTCCCCTCCCGTCAAACGAAAAAATTAACTGCAGGCATGTTGAGGGCAACACGATGCCGTCGTTCCTGGAGGCCGTTAGGCTTGGCGTGGATGTGATCGAGTTCGACGTCCTCACGACCTCGGATGGGGTCGTTATCTGCCATCACGACCCCCTCATCGAAGAGTCCGGTAAGGGTTCCCGGCCGGCACAGCCAAGGGACCGCAATGCGTTGGTAGCTCGCGTTCGCTTTGTCGGCAGGGTAACCTGCCCGCTCGTGTCTTTTCCCACCGTGACGGGTCGGACACCTTTCGATGACCGCTCGCTCCTGCAGCAAACAAATGTTTGGTGTCTACTCAAGATTTTTCCACCTTTAGAGAGTGCGGCGAAATATCTCACGTGCACCGTCCCGGGCCGGCCCGTCTCCCCTACCGCCTGATGGCCCGCAGGCGAGTGGATCGAAAACCTGACCCTCGCCCAGACCCGCGAGAGGCTCAAGCACAACGTGTCGACCTTCGAGGAGATGCTCCAGGAGAAGGTCTTGTCGGAGTC